TTATTTTATTTATTTTATTTTATTTTATAAACAACCAATATAAAAAAGTTTTATAAAGAAAGTTATTAGTAGATTTCATATAAAGAAAGATATAAAAAAAAATTTTAAATAAGTAAAAAAAAATTTATGAGTTAAAAATTATTTTAAAAAATAAATAATTAAAATATTATTTTTATTTTTATTATAATATTAATATAAAAATATATAAATAACTTTTAAAGATATTTTAAAAAATTTTAAGAGAGAAAATTGTCACCTATCCGAATGCCCCCCTTAACTTCAGTGAAAGTGAAAAGGCTGAGACAATTAATAGGATAAGAGGATGTATGGCGATCAAGCTTTTTTTAGGCCTATTTAATATCACATTTAAAAGTTAATTTTTAAAATTTTTAACTAAATTTTAAATTTGGAAAAATAATTTTTTTAAAAAAATTTTTGTTAAATACTTTTTAAAATGAAAACAATCTGACATATATACATAATTTACACTTTAAAATAAAAACAATCTGACATATATACACAATTTACAGGTGTAAACATAGATTTTTAATTTTTAGTACAATTAATATTTTAAAAGATTAATTTTTAAATTACTTTTTTATTTTTACAGAAAATTTACATCAAATTTTATATTTATTGAATATGTTTAATTGTTTTATTATACTAAAAAATTTTATTGTTAAATTTATGTTAAAAATACAATTTTTTTAATTAAATAGCTACAGATGTAACATCAACATGAAATTTAGTACAATAAAGCAATTAATCACAGCGTTAATGATTAAATTTTGACTTTGTCAAACATTGTACATATATAAATTAAAAAAGTATAATATAATTCGAATTGTATTGAATTATATATATTAATTATTTAATAAGATTAAATTCTTTAATATTAAGATATATTACAATGTTTTTTTTTAATATATTATAATTATTTACAAGTTAATTGAAGATAAGAAAAAGGATTTTTGTGAGACTCGAACATACAATTCATAATAAGTGAATAGTTCTAATCTAAAATTCAATACTATAATTCGAAACCGCAATTCAAAATGTCTTTTATTTAATTATCTATATTTTATAATTTAATAAAATTTAAATAATAAAACAAGATTTTCTATGCATATTTGTAGGATTAACTGTTATATGTCCTTAGTCCAGACCATTTGCGCTGTATATTTTTGTCTCTTTGACTCTGAAGACTGCACCACAAACTTGAACTAGATACCTTGAAGTACCAACTTAACTAACATTCCGAGCCATTCAAAGCTTCAAAAAGGAGAGTAGGTACTGATACATGTGCAGGGCGGTATAAATAAAGTTAAAATATTAATTTAGTCCTTTAATTTTTTAAATTTGTATTAAGATAGTCCTTAAATTTTAATTCTTAATATCAAGATAATCATTTTATTAACGAAATGTCATATAACTTATATCTTATCATAAAATCAATTTTTTTAAAAATTAATAATGTGTAAAATCAAACATATATATTTTATTACCATAACCTATTTCCATTTGCATATCAAATTAACGTATAATCAAATTTGAAAGACCAAATTAATATTTGTAATTAAAGTCAAAAGATTAAATTAGTATTTATCTTTAAAGTTTAAGGACTAAATTGATTTTGATGCCTTAAAATTAAAACTATTTTGGTATAGAAAACTAAAGTTTAAGAATAATTTTAATATTTTTTTATATTTAAAAATAATTTTAATATAAATCTAAAAGTTAAGGGACCAAAATAATATTTTATTTATAAATTAATGTGGTCCAAAAACTAGCTACTTTGTAATTCTCAAATTATGGTGGGGCGTATTACAGGACAGCTTGGTTGATCCTAGTCCACATCCTTAAATTTTCCATGTGGACAAACTCGACATTAAGAGTTGTTGTTGTTGTTGTTGGAGTCTGAAGACAATGAGCTTCTGCCACCACATAAATCTTCCCTTCATTATAGTGTAGGCCCTCTTGCTCTCCAGGTTGTGTGAAATCTCTTTAGTTAATTTCCATGGTTCTGAGTTCTTACTTCTAACCAACCGAATGGGCAATGACGAATTCAAATTGAAATTACAAAAAATCAATTAAAACATTAATAATAACAACAATAATATTAATATTAAAATATTTTAAAATAATTTTACAAACAACCATGACTCTTGCATTCTCTTGTGTGACCATGGTGACGGTCACGTTTTTCTAAAGTGAGAAATGAATGGAACATACTTTGGTCTACAAGTCGAGTCCCAAACTTGATTTTTTTTCAAATAAATATTAATCTAACACTGTAATTCTTCTTGTCAAAAAAGAAAAAGAAGTCATGACTCTTTAAATATTAGAGTGTTCTATTTTCTTTTTCTTTTTCTTTTTTCATTTAAAAATATAATAGAATTATCCCGTATTCTATAAATCATAATCAAATATCATATGTTCCATGTTGCAGACTGACAAGGCTTCAATGCTTGATGAAGTGATTGAATATCTGAAGCAATTGCAAGCGCAAGTTCATGTGATGAGTAGAATGAACATACCAGCGATGGTGTTGCCAATATCAATGCAACAGCAACTCCAGATGTCGATGATGGCTCCAATGGGCATAGGAATGGGGATGGGTATGGGACTAGGTTTCATGGACATCAACACCCTCAGCCGCCCGAACATGGCCGGAATCTCACCCATCATGCCCGCCAATCCATTCATGCCTATGACTTCCAGTTGGGACAGCTCCGCCACTGGCCGGTTACAACCTTCGCCGGCATCAGTGGTGCCGGACCCTTTGTCCCCTTTCCTAGCTTGCCAATCACAGGTATACTAATTTCCTTTTTCTTTTTCTTTTTTTTTAAATGTAAATTTGTAAGTATGAAAAATGGGATTTACAGAAAATTACAACATTTTATCATTTAAGATGTTTGAATTACATATGAAAAGACTTAAATACTCTAAATGAATTAATGCAAAGAAAGTTAATTAAAAAAGATAATAATTTCATGAACAATATTGATATTTTAATTGTTATAATGTTTTTATTTTCACGTTTCTAATGAAAAATAATTGAGATTGTGCCGAATTAATTGCTAATTTGTTATGCAGCCAATGACCCTGGATGCTTACAGCAGAATGGCAGCTATATATCAGCAAATGCAACAACAACAACAACAACAACCGCCGGCTTCTAATTCTAAGAGTTGATTGAGCATCCGCAAATCCTAAAGTTTTTGTGTTCTCTTTGAATTTGTAATATGGCTTCAAAAAACCGACAGCTTTGAATGGAATTGAAACACTCGACTATGTTCATGTATGCTGTGTGTAAAAGTCTATCAAAGATTCAATCCATTAATTCTAAACTTGTATTTTGATTTTGGATCACGATTGGTACACACACATTCGTACTACACTCCCATTGCACATTCCTTTTTCCGTTAACTTTCACACTCCGTTAGTTTCTATTTCACTCTCATCATGTCCCACCTTCTTCCTTTTTTTTTTTTTTTTTTTCTCTTCGAGAACCCAGTCTGGGTTCTCCGTTCTCTAGGAGAACCCAGGTCTAGGTTCCTAGATCGGAGAACCCAAGTTGGGTTCTCCAAAAAAACAAAGAAAAAAAAAAGGAAGAAGGTGGGAACCTGGGAGAGGGCTAGCAATTGTCTTGCAGATGGTTAGGATAAGGATGGAGGTGAGGAGGAAGATGGATCTAGTGAGAACGAAAAGGGTTGGGTGAGTTGGGAGATGGTTGAAGAGGTGGAAA